TATATATATATATATATATATATATATATACACACACACACACACACATACATACATACATATAGCATCAAAATTAATTAAAAAAATAATAATAATTATTGTTATTGATAAAAATTCTAAAATTTAGTTTCACACAAATCAGGAAGGAAGTCATTTGAAGATCTTTTATTTCTGGTTTTGTAACTGTTGATCTGTAGCATTTGGTTCCTTCCTGTGCAGAAATTCACACAGAAGTGCAGGTTAAAAACTATGAGAAGTTCTTAGAGGAATATACCACTCAGCTCCAGGGTATTGAAGAAGCATTGGACGACTCTGTGGGAGATGTATGGGACTTCACTCTGGACCCTATCGCTTTGAAGGTGTTGTGTCATGACTTACAGATTCATAACAGTGTTTATTTTTTCATTAATTGCTTTTATGCCATATCACTCTCCTTGCTCTGTCACACCAGCTCCTGCCGTATGAACAGTCCTCACTGTTGGAGCTCATCAAGACAGATAATAAGGTATGAGTATGAGATGTTGAACAGTTTGCTGTTTAAGATGCTGCAGTTTACATGTGATGTGAATACTGAATGAGAATTAGTTTATTATGAGTTTACCTGTTGCTCTTTTCTCTTCTTCTTCACCAGGTGCTTAATAAAGTTATCACAGTGTATGCAGCTCTTTGCTGTGAAGTTAAAAAGCTGAAATATGAGGTAAGTGAAAATGTATGACGAGACATGTATAATGTTTTCTGTTTCAAATAAATGCTGCTCTTTTGAACTTTCTGTTTATAAAAGAATCCTGAAAAAATGTATCCCGGTTTACAAAAAAATATTAAGCAGCACAACTATTTTCAATATTAATTATAATAATAATAATAAGAAGAAGAAATGTTTCTTAAGCATCAAATCAGCATATTAGAATGATTTCTGAAGGATCATGTGACACTGAAGACTGGAGTAATTATGCTGAAAATTCAGCTTTGCATGACAGGAATAAATTACATTTTAAAACATATTAAAGTAGAAAAAAGTTATTTTAAATATTAAAGGGGTCATATGATGCGATTTCAAGTTTTCCTTTCTCTTTGGAGTGTTACAAGCTGATTGTGAATCGATAAGATCCCTGAAGTTGCAAAGACTAAAGTCTCAAAACCAAAGAGATATTCTTTATCAAAGTTAAGACTCTGCCACGCCCCCCTAAAACGGCTCGTTCTAACACGCCCCCACATATCTACCTCACTATGTGGAAATATTAGCATAATGCCGCCCAAATGTGCACGCAAAGAAA